ATATTTATTTGAAGAATTATAAATAGTGAACATGGACTCACCTGAGACCAATATATTTCCATCCCTGCTAAAGGATAAACAATGAACGGTACCAGAATGGTTTGATAAAGCAGCAACAAGATGCCCGTGCGCTAAATCCCAAACTAAAACGCGGTGATCCGCGCCGGCTGATGCCAGAAATCGACCCTCTGCGGAAAAAGCAAGGGAGTAAATCGGGGCTTTGTGTCCTGTCATTAATCTGACTTGGCTGCCGGTTACGCAGTCCCATAATCTTACTGTCATGTCACTGGAACCGGTTGCTACGTAGTTTGAGTTTGGATGAAACTGTACTACCTGAAAAAATTAATAATTTCTTTTATACAATTCTTTTATTATAAACAGTATTCTTATAAAAATGAGCCTACATCTACATCCGAGTAATGGCCTGCAAATATTCGAAGAGGTTGATGAGAATCGGTAGCCCAGAGTCTAGCTGTTTTATCGTGAGAAGAAGTTGCAAAATAGTAACCATGAGGAGAAAATCTGACACACCACACTGGGAATAAATGTCCCTTGTAACATACAACACACGTCCATGTGTGTAGAGACCACAGTCTCACTGTAATATAATTAAATATAATAGTTATTCGATATACTTAGGAGCACATAGGATATATAATTGTATAACATGCCTGTACTATCTTCTGAAGATGACAGAAGGAGATTTCTGTCTGGACTAAATGATAAACTGTATATGGGACCATTGTGGCCGAATAAAGACCTAGATGTTTCCGCTGTGCGATCGTCCATCATTCTTACTAATACATCGTCTGCAATACCAAGGTGAAAACATGTTTTTAAATGTCTGAAACAATGAACAATTTGCGGGTGAATCGCATCGACCATCACCTGCTTCTCTATCAATGTCCTGCAGTTGCTCGCCTGTCTTCATCAGTCTTAATTTTTGTGGAACCAAGCTCCACACCTTTATACAAGAATCACTGAATCCAGTGGCTAGTAAGCTCGAGTCTTCCGCCACTTCGGCCGCTGTCACACTAAACCTTACATTACATGTATGCTTATGCTTGTTTCACATGGGGTTAATTTTTATAATGACACTTACCTATGAACCGCGTTTAGAAGCGTGTAAAAGCATATAGACGGCAGAGTGTCTGGGCCAAGTACAACGCGTTTTGACGCTTCTCTCAATGCTTTTACCTTTTCCAATTTATCTGCGTCTTTTCTGTACTTAATCAGATTTCGTTATTTCTTTGTATAAGCATAGCGACGATAAGTTTATCAGTAAAGTTTCTTACAAATTGGGTAAAGGCATCCTGCCAACAGGTGGTGCATTTGGATCTGATTTAGTTTTCTTAGAAAAAAGGGGATCTTTTTTAGCTTTCTTCTTTTTTGGTTTATCTCCATCTGCACCACCTGTATCATCCTCTTCTTCTTCAGTTGGAGGCATACATTGAATCTCTGGCTCTTTCAGAAGACCATAATATACTTTTGCCTTATTGTCTGAAGTAGAAGATGTTTTTTTAGTAATAATATTGTTTTCTATCTCAAAAATTGAATTCCATTCAGTGATATTACCTTGCCTAGTTGCCTCACCGACCATTGCACCTGATGTGGCATCAATCTGCTGTTTATTCCTTGCTACTCCTTCATACATATCAAAATAAAGATGTTCTTGTATAATATTTAACAACACACTATGCTTCTTCTCTT